GTCAGTAATGGTACTTGAGAGACTTGCTTCTACAAAACGCGAGAAATTCCTCTCTGCGGGGGGTGATACTGGAGGATCGTGCTTCGGTGGCGTGGCAATGAACACACTACGCGGCAGCATCTCGGCGAGACGTGGGCTGGGCTGTGGAGATAATGCTACACTCGGCATTAGCCTGATGGATTCGAACAATATAATCTCTAGTGCTCACAATCAGACTCCTTCCGCACTGTCGTGTACTTCTCTAATTCTAGTTCCAACCTCAACATGGGAGCGATACGTCGGTCAACGAGGTCACCATGAGAACGACTCTTCTCCTTGCGTTTCGAAGGAGATTCCGACTCCGTCTCGTACATCACGTCCAGACCTGTAACACTCGCCCGCCGACCCTTCAGAGAGGGCGGTGCCAACATACCATTCTTTTTCGTACTCGTTTGTATGGACGCAAAAGTCGTGTCGCCAGTTGGGCTCGTTTCTCCAGTGCTGCTGGAGCAAGACGCTGCGAAAGACGTCCACGTAGGGCTCGTAGCCGAATCGTCCGCAAATATCTGATATGCAGCAGGAATCTTGCGTGGAACGCGACTGTTACGACGACTTTGGTGTTGCGAACTGCGATGAGATGCCGGCGACAGAGGGATAGGTGGCAAAAGTGATGATCGGCCTTCGCTCTCGAATTTGTGCTTCGCGTCCTCGACTACCTCTACACAAAACGTAAACCCAATATCTTGTGACACAACACATAACGCCTACTCACTTTCAACATTACGCATCCAAATGGTCATCCGGTCGGCTTTGTTGTCTGCACCAACCCTCTCGTTTCGGATGGCGTGGCGGACCACCGGAAGAGAACTCTTTGCTAGAACAGACTTCAATAACAGTCATAGATAGATTAATTTTACTCACCTTCACGGATTAAGCTCGCATTTTCCCAAGACTCGTGTACGCTGACGCTCCGCCGCGATACAACATCGTTCACTATGCTAATATCCTCATCTGGCGCAGCCGACACCACGACCATTGCAGGATCATCTTCGGGCGTCGATGAATGCTTATCTTGTGTGGACGACTTGTAAAAGCGGAATGTCTTATCTAGAAAAAAATACGAGTTCACAACCAACGGATGTGGCTACAGATCAATATTACCTATGGACTTCCTAATATGATGAGTGAAAGATTGCAGGACAGAATCCGTCGCCGGACGAGCGGATAGTGCATTGTTGAATGAGACATTGGCCGAAGTATCGCAATATGCCAGAGAAGGTGTGCTACGTGTCGCAGCAGGGGCCACGGATGGTTGAACCAAAGGCGTGAAGAGGGGATTCGGAGAGCTCATAAGCACCTGCAGGGCCGCCTCGGTGTTCTGAGAAGGTGCGAAGTAGACTGAAACTCAAGTCAGAACAACCAAAAATGATTCAGAATTTGAAAAATCTTCCTCACTGGGTGTAGCAGGAGGGGCACTTGGAAGCGGTTTATTGGCAGGCGCAGATGAAGCCACACGTGGGGGGAGCACAAGGCCGGATTCCACCTGTGGCAGCGACGTGTCGTTCTCCTTGTCGATATTACCTCTACTGCTGTCCTTATCGTCGACGTGGCCGGACTGGCGCTCAGATTCACTTTCCTCAGTCAGCTGCGCCACCCGGACATGCGACCCCTCGGGCTCGGGCTCGAAGAACTCGTCACGCTCACGTTCGAAATCCTCGAGCCGTGCCATTTCACGCAGACGTTGCTTCTCACGTTCCCACTCGAGTACGCGGTCATAGACCCGACTGGTCTCGCGGGCATGGGTCTTCTCTTTATGTTGTACCTTCTGCCCCTTCGCGACCACCTTGGACGCAATCTTCTGTCCTGTTATAGATGGCTTCTGTTCATGCGCATCGGCCGCACTCTTGTTTCTTGGAGGACTCTGCGTGCCCCGCACGCCACTCTGGCTCTTCTCGCGCGTATGGCTCGTCGGTTTGTCTCGCACTTGGCTCTGAGTCTTCTTCGACGCATGAATTCGATTGGCCTTCGTCTGTCCGGCGAAGTTGAAGTTCAATGAGCTCGCGTCCCTAGCAATGTCGACATACTCCTTCGCTCTCTTCATCTCACTTTGCTCTCGCACATGCCCACGGGTGCGGCCATAAATGCTATCAGCGACGCGTGAATGAGCCCTGCTATTCGTCACGTCGCCAAGGGCGGCTGGGCGGCGGCGCGCAGGTGACGCAGGAGAGCGAGGGGAAGTGGGAGGCGAAGCCTTGATTGGTGAAAGCCCATGAGCAACGGTGACGCGCTTGAAGCGCGTCGAGAGTGAATCTATGGACGATGCTGGTGATGGCTGGGCAGGTATGCAGGCCTGCGACTTGAAGCGGGGAAGGTGCACGTGTGCATGAACATCTTTCAGAACTTTGAGACCCGGTGGCGTCGACGGCGCAGCTTGAGCATCCTTATTCGTGTCCAGGCATGAAATGAGGTCGGCATCAAGGCTCGCTTCATGGACCTTGCAAGATGCAGTCGAAAGGACGGTCGCTGATTTGCTGACAGCTACAGACGACATGCTCGCTGAGCGTCGTGGCACCTCTGCGCCATCCTTGCGAGGGAACCAATACGCATCGAGCATGACTTGAGCAGCAGTGCATCTCAGGTCTGCGTTTGGCGCAATCATGCGACGCAGAAGCGCCTCCATTCCTTGGGATGTACGCCAGGTGCCGACCCAACTACCACGAAGGGTGCGGGCCCAGTATTTCTCGAGATCCTCCTTCGTGGTAAACTGCTCGGTGTCAGCGTGTTCAAAAGGCGTACGACCGCAGAGAATCTCAAAAAAGGAGACGCCGAGCGACCAGACATCACTCTTGCGTGTGTCGTGGGGCAATCCACGCGCGCGTTCAGGTGACAGATACTACAGAGACGCGTCAAATGACAAGACAGGTGTTGCCAATGGGGCATTACCTCTGGTGTGCCGTAGGACAGATTACTGTGAAATGCAGTGGGCGACTTGATGTCGTACTTTTCCGCAAAACCGAAATCCACGAGGACCGGAACACCCTTACCGGAGAGAAGAATGTTGGCAGGCCTGCGGTGCCCAATGTCAACGTCCGCCGGTGAGGGCACAAAAATGACACTAACTTGATATCATTATGTACAATGCCGCGCTTGTGCAGATAGTCGACGCCCGACGCAAGCGAGCGAAACCACTTGAAGGCCTTGTGCTCAGCGACCTCGACGGGCACGAGTGTAGGAAGATATGCCCTGTTGAGATATAAGTGAGTCATGTCACCTGATGGCCATTATCTGCAGATGGTTGGTCCGCCAACTCGCTTCTGCATGGGCAGTACAAGATAGTACATAGCAGGTAGATGTGTAGAGTGGTTCGCACATCGGTGCAAGGGAGTGAAATCTGCACTCACATAGTGATGAGCGCGTAGGATGGTGTGATAACGAACGAATAGAAGGGAACGATAGAGGGGTGAGGGTTGGCCTTGAGACTGCGCACAATCTTCATTTCGTTCCAGCTAGAAATGGATTCCTGCAGTCAGAAAGAAGCACCCAAATGCATGATAATAACACGTACAGAGACTTGACGCGTGCTGCTGTTGTGGACGTCTTGGAACGATGGACGAGCTTGACAGCAATCTTGCCAGGGCCATTGCCTGAGTGCGTGAGGCCGCCCGGACGCGGACGGCAAACCCAAACACTGCCCCAGTTCCCAAAGCCGATCTGAAGTAACGTCAGTGTACAGAACGCGTCGTATACGCGTAAAACCCCGTACCTCCTCGATGAACTGAAGCTTCTCCGCCAAGACCTGGTCTGACAGGGAGAAAACATCCGAGGACTCGGGAGACGGTGTACGTGATGTGCGGCCTGACATGGCTCTCGAGGACGCCTCCATCGCTCGAGTCGGAGAAGATGGTGGTCGTATCTCAAAAGTTGCAACGAGCTTCACTCGAAACCGAACATCTTCCAAAAACATGCAGCACGTGATCGTAATCATCGCCGATCAAACACGTGCACCGCTGTCATTTTGGCATTTTGGCAGCATCTGACTTTTACTTACACTGTTTGCACTCGTTTGCATTTCTTTCACTAGAACCCAACTGTATAGCAAGAGCGCCATGTCAAGTGGTGTAGGCAGATCGATTGAAGACACGTACGAGTCACAGAATGACCAGCGTCTGGATGAGCTGCATTCAAAGCTCCGAACATTGAGGGGGGTGAGTCGCAGTGGCATGCAGTCGGCTTTTCATGTTCATCGCTGGCATAGATCACATCCGATATAAATGCAGACGTAGAATCTCAAAATCTCATGCTAGACACGACAGTGCGTTTCCAGTGTTTCCCGTGTCTATCCCTCTTGTACTGACTTGGCTACTTACGTGCATTGACAATGACATTCTGTATCGTTGCGCGTCGTTTCAATTGAAAATTCCCACCACAAATCATGCACTGGCAGTCTGACCGTTTTACTGTATTCTCAGGTTCTTTGTCCCAAACAGCCCGACGCGCTGGCCAGGCCTTTGGCGTTGGCACTGGATCGCTGAAGCCTTGGCGAATAGCGATGTTCATCGTCAGTTTATTCCTGGGTTTTTGGCTCATCACCAAGGTTCTTGCTTGGTGGTGGCCCAACGGTGGTAGCGGCAGTGTCCCTGCATGAGATCGTACGCAGGCCCTTGCGCCGGATCATATTACTTTTGGATGACGGTCTCATTGTGCCATGGCATCCTTGTTCACGATTTGGCACGACATAGCAACACATTGGTCTGCGAGAAGTGGTCGACAATGCGCCGAACTTCGTGGAAGTTGCCCTGATAGACAAGACATCGACGTATAAACGTTATTGCGATTCACAGTATGTGTATCTATTGCTTAAAATACATCCGGATTACTCTCGCATCGGCAGCATTACCAAATCCCGAGGTTGTTTTGTTTCGTCATCTGTTGGTTAAGTACGATGGCGAAGGCTTGAAAGGTGGAAGCACCCAAGCTGCGCCTCCGCTCTTATGAGTATCAGCCTGAATTTCTCCAACGGACCGACCATAGCTCAGTTGGCAGAGCATCAGACTGTAATGGGTTATAATCTGGGTGTCGCCTGTTCGAACCAGGCTGGTCGGATAGTTATTGAACTTTCTTTTTTTCTCTCTTCCTGGGTTCATAACACGAGCAAATCCTATATGGTATAAGTACTACATACTACTGTCCCTAGCTCGTTCAAAATCGTGATACATGACATCAATGGAACTGTGAGTTCTGATCGGTGGTATTGTGGAAGCAATGTGATATACAGATGGATCCAAACGCGCACACCAGAGAAAAATTAAAAATGTGTGTGTACATGGGACTGAATTCAAAGAATGGGATCTCAGAGGAAAGTACACAATTAAAACGAAGCGAATATGGTCGATGGGCTCAGAGATGCAGGAAGGACGAAGATGCATAGATACGATAGCAACCACAATAGAATGGACAATTAGAAGGCCGAAGGTACAGCTGGAACGGAGACTTGCAGGTAGTCCAACTTGATGGCAGCGGGCAGAGAATTCAATAAAGCTAAAATTAGAAAGTATCATGGGACTTACTTCGCGCTCCGAGAAAATCTTTTTCCTCGACATGACCATGCGAGCGATGTCCACTTCCGACTTGAAAGGGTCTTCGACGAATGATTCCCCACCGTAGAGTGTATGATAGTCATTGCGACCCCAGTGAATGGATTCCTGATCCTCTCCGGAACACCCGGAGCCGCTGCCGCCCTGGCCATGACCGTCAGAGCTGGCAAATGAGATGGACAGGCGTTCGCGCCAGCGCGTGGTCCACAGCGCTGAACCTCCATCTCGGGAGTCTCGAGTCGAGACCTGTGTCAGAGTGAACGGTGTCGGTGTCGGTGTCGGTGTCGCTTCAGCAGTTTGCGGAAGCCGTCGGCGCCGCCGTGCGTTGCGTCGTACAACACTTGCGACTCGTGATAAAGCAGAAGATTTAGAAGAATTGGACTGAGGTACTATCAGAGGTGCGATCTATTTTATGAAACGCCACCGCACTCACGGGAGCAAGCGGGCGAGGATATGCGTCATCATCGCTCACAGGTGGTGTACCCTGTGAACGGTCTGTTTTTATGATTTCGTAGAGAAGGCGCAAGAGACTGGACATGGTGACAAAGACAATTTCGTAGAGAGATGCGTGCAGACAGGACGTTACGACGTGTCGAGAGGTAGTAATTTTGGCGGCGGCGATAGCAGTGGTAACCGTGTAAAAGGCGTGACGAGTGGTATGTCTAGATGCAGGCCAGCTGCTGTGTCTTATAGCAGCTGTAAAACGTGGCAAGTTGCCGGGCGTACAGAAAGGGAATATAAGTTCACTCGCGTGCTAGTAGAGGCGTAATCGGAAACGGGCGTTACAGGGGCGTAGAAGCAAAAACGGCGGCGGAAAGCGTCATATACAGTGCTCTCAGCCCCCCTGCCTGGGTGTGCATTGATAAACCCTGCGCCGCCAAAGCACTGGGACTGTGACGGGTAGGTGTCAAGCCTCGGAGGAAAGAGAATTTTGGGGAGATATGGAAAACTGACATAGAGGGCAGACGAAGAAATAGATACCTTACGTGGCTTCTGCCGAGCGAATCGAAACATCCGTGGACGGTTGACGGCCGAGGATTTTCCTAAACTCCTCATCTAAGCCAAGGCACCAACGGAGATACGCGATGATTGCTTGAGTGGGACGCGACATGTGGCAGGCTCTTGTCCGCCGATAACGTGAGTAGGCGTGCTTGGTCACTAGCCCCCAGACACGCCCCTCGTTAATTAGCAAAGTCGCCGTCCGGAAAAACAGGACACTTTGCTGGTCATCATGAAAGAACGAAGAATACCCATTAAGACATGTCAAAATCATCGTTTCATGACGCCAGTGCAAGATTGGCCGTTCAAGGGGAAGCTTGTCGCTTACAGGAATGAACATATCAGCAAGCGTTCAATGAGAGCCCCACGAATCTGGTGGTTCTCGCTGTGATGCAGGTTCTGCGTGCCGACTAAAATAGATGGTCCACCTAGTGGCAGAGAAGTAGCAAGGAAGAACAGACATTGACAAACGGATACGATGCAGCCAGAGTGGCCACGAGAACAATGCATTTGACGACAGGCTGAACATACATGGTTGATTGCTGGACGTACTATACAATGTTTTCAGAAAGGAAATAACTGCAGACAAGACATTCAGACATAGAATCACCCTTAAGGCCACTTTCCTAATTCGAAGCAGAAGAACCCCAAACAGTCGTCATACCACATTCACGCATGCTAGGAATTCTCGAACAGAGGTTGTTGTTGAGCACTCACTGACCACTGGGACCAGCCTCCCATGGCGCCATTGTCTCGTACTTGGATGAGGTAGAGGCAGGACGGCGTCCCGCCATTCTTCTAGGTTGATGATTATGAGCCACGACTCTATGGCGATATAGATCGTAATAATCATCGAACGTCATTGCACATTGTTCGCAAGGGCGGTGTTTGCTGCAGCACGTTAGCATAAGTTAAAGTTTGTCAGCCAATGTCTAGTTAGTGACAGGGCAAACGACGTTTACATCTTAAGACTGGGGAAAACATCAAGTTCGCATAAAAGACTGGAATAATTCTTGCCGCTTACTGGACTTTGGCCACATGATCTTCACATGACACTTTCTAAGGCACACACGTGAGATCCTGGAGAAGAAGCGGGACGGATCAAAAGCTTACGATAGCGAACTTCTTATCGCAGGATACACAAACAAATTTCCTGGGGATCACACGAGGCAAAAACGACACGTCAATATGAGATAATCGATGAGACCAAAGGGACTCACTTGACGCCCATATGCTTGCTCTCGATGTGACGCTTCGTCGAGCTCTTCCTGGCCCTGTAGCCACACGATACGCCCTGCTCATCGATCCACATGCACCGGTAATCCGTGCTGGATACGGCTTCAGCATGCAGTGTCCAATCTGGCACAGTACCTTCTGGGCCAGTGATGGCTATGTAGTCGGTGACGTCTGGGGTTACCCCCGCGCCATAGCCAGGCCCGCCGGCACCGAGATCAGACGCGCCTGCGGACGAGCCTACATCGGATGTGTCGACATCAAACTCACTTCCGTCATCCTCGAAGATCTCATACTCAAGTTCGTCGTCACCATGGTGTGCTGCTTCGATAGAAGATATATCCACAATATCGCGAGAGCCGGACGGGAAGCTTGGCATCGACGTGGCTTCGCCAGCAGCAGATGAGGTACTTGAAGGGCTAAAGACTGGTATCTGTGGAGAAGCTGAGGCGGGTATCACGACTGACTCCCCACTCCCTGCACTTGAAAGTGATGTTTCGGCGGATGCAATGGTCAGTTCTTCTGTAAGGACATCACGGATTGATGGCAAGTCCGCGCGTTGACCCCCCTCCTGGCTACACGAACGGGTTTGAGTTGAGCCAATCGCATGAAGTGCATAAGTGTACCTCAAAGCCGTCGTTGAAGTGGTTATGATAGGGGGAAGTTGACTGGGTTCGCTGCCTTCTAAGTAAAAACATCATTGATGCGAGTGCGAACATACACCGAAATGCTGGCAGAGGATGATTGTCCATCGTCGATGGTTGCGGAAGGAGCATTTGAAGATCTAAAAGTAAATAAATTAAAAACCGCGACGGAAGGCATGAAACAGACATGTACCCGCGAAACGTCCCGAAATGAGGAAGGTTAAGGGACTGAGAGTGCTGTGACCTGAGAGGAAAGTCACTTCACATAAATCGACGTTCAAAAGTAAGGCATACGTTTCATGTTCTTCATGGATAAGTTCCCCAGGCTCAGATGGTTCCCTGTTATGCACAAGGATGAGCGTCGACCAACTGCACTCAATGAAGAAGCACAAGGATAACGCTGGATTGGTGGGTACACGTAATTGGAGAGGGCAAGAGGTATTACATCTATGCTCACCTAGGAGGAGGAGGATCGTTGTATTGAGACATGGGCAGAGGAAGGACAAAGGAGAGGATAGATTGGGGAGGGAGTACCTGATGAGCTTGGGTCGCCCAGGCCAGGATAAGAAGTAAACTGCTGGATTTTATACATGGACGGCGTACCCAAGAATTCGAAATTTACGAGAGGAGCCCATCTAGAACCACGCGCCAGCATTCGTGCCAGTGCTTGGTGTGATACCAATTCATGCACGGCGAAAACGAATCTCAAAGGAGATAAGGCATTCAGAAAACTTTCAAATGGAGATCCCAGGATACATCTCAAGAGTCGAGAGCCAGCGGAACCCAGGTGCATGAGATACACATTGTGCAGAATATGGGAATACGGAGCCCCTAGCGGATGGGAAGCAACCCACGGGAGATGAAATTCACGGTCAACGTGACGGCTGTGAGATAGCAGACACCAGCAGACATGCCGTATTCGTGCAACGGAACAATATTTATAGAAAGTTTCCTATCGTAGAAAGATAAGTGACTGTGTGCAGTTCAAGACATCACTTTTGACTTGTTTGTCCCGTCATGCTGCCACGTCTATGTATCATCAGCTACAGCGGAAGCAAAAATGGTCACCGGTCGACTCAACGTTGCGTCGGCTTTTCGGCATACCTTGGCCGTTGTTGATCCAACGTCCAACAGTGATTGAACAATTGCCCAATACAGTTCACACAAAATCCTCATTCGGTCGACGCTACGTAATGGACATGTGCATCGTTATACACATCCCTCAATGGAATCCTCAATAGTTCTCTGGTCCGTGCTTGTACCTCAACTAGACCATTGTCCGTCGGTGTTTCCAATACTTGCCATAGCATGCTCAGCCTGCCACTGATGTGGTAGCAAAGAGTGCACGTACCTAGGTACCCACTGTTACTACAGTCTGTTAGTGCATGATGGGGGTACTCCACTTTAGGCGGGGAAGGGAGGTGACTGGGCTCGTTTGCGTTTATATTGAAATGAATGTTCACAGAAGCTGTCAGTTGTCGTGAATTTCGCCATAATGTTTCTCGAATTGACAGTGCACTCATCGCAGAGATCGGAGTTCAAGTTTTAAAAAATTGGTCATTTCATTATCTTCCGTTTGTGAGGCACGATGAACCTCTTTACGGTATAGTACATGTATACAACTCGCAATACA